GCCAACGCGCCTAAACGCACACACGCATACATATTTAATATATATATATATACAAGTATATATATTGTATAACTACTATATTGTATATATATATATGTATATATTTATATTTACATTTGTAAGTATGTTTGGCCGCTGATACAAGCATACCAGCTTGCGTATGGCAGGTTCGTGTCAGCACGCATAAATCTAGGTCAAATTATGCTGGGCCATAGCCTCATAGAAGGGCACAGCGTGCGAACGTGCATTGACGTGTTGTGTTGCATACTTTCAGGCTATTAGCATGACAGTATGGCCTGCATGAGATCTATGCTTGTTAGTGGCATGCATGTTAATATGTATTTGTATGTATGTATGTTTGTATGTGTACAGCGTGCACAACGTTTATTGCTGTGTATAAATATGTAATTAGTTATTTGGTGCGAAATATTTAATTGCATTTAAACACGTATTATTTTGTGTAATCCAACCCCATTTAATTGCTGTGCCACACCATTCATACGCATAAACTAGGACATGTGGCAATAATGCAATTTTCATGCCACTACAGTGTTCTATGGGATTACAAGCACAATACTTAGCCATATACATACATAAATCATACATATATATACATAAATATATACACATAAATATATACGTATATATGTATAAAACATGTACATACAAACATACATACTTACATACATACATATATGTATGTATCTAACGCAGTAATAATTGTATGCCTGCCTGATGACGTCACGCATGGCCACAATTGCTGCAATTGACGTTTCCAGAAGTCAAAAAGAATATAGTTCACTCACTTCTGCACCAGCTCCAGGTGCATTTTTACTCTTATGCATTCTCTGTTTAGCGACGTTACTTTAACAGTACTCTTACTCGCTTTACTTTAGCGGCTGTTAACCGAAATTCTGCAGTTGTTGCGCGTGTATTTTCGTTGCTTGAGTGCATTCACGCGTTGTTTCTCTTTGAAATGTTGCACAGTGTGTATGTTGCTCAGACAACTTTAGGCTTGCCATGTTTAAATTTAGACACATAATTGTATTTAACTCATATTTTGGCATTTTATGGCTTGCACATAAATTTTTGCTGTACAAAAAGATCTTAAAACCTTAATCTTAACCAAATGTTGCTCAGTTGTTGTTCAAAAATGTTAGAAATAGAGATTCTCACAGTTTTATTTCTTGTAGCGCTTTAGACCGAAGAATTGAATGCAGAAGATTTCACGAAATATCTGTCTAATCGTCATCAAAAAGCCTAAATTAAAGCTTAAAATAATCAGGAATCACAATGAATGATGTATTTTGAAAATAACATATCACCCGAAAAAAAATAATAATAAACTTGTTATAGACTCAAAGCGCATCAGTGAGTGATCAGTACCAAAGAGATTTCAGCATCAAAACGGGCCTGTGTTTCTACTTTTTAAATAAAATCGTCTTGATCTTCATCAGCACAAGTGTGACCTAACCTAAACCTAACACCGAAACCTAACCTAAACTAAATAAAATATGCAATGGATATAAAAAATTATGACGTTAATTCAGCGATAAAAAATCTTTATATTACTGAAAAGGCACAGCTTATGGTAAATACAAAAAAAAAAGATTTTCACATATTTCGATACGTTATACATTTAAAAATAATATACTAAAATTTCAAATCGAAATCTCAAATAAATTTTGAGTTAGCGCCTTCTAAAGTGCAGGCACTCAGCTCAACAGCTCAATCAGTTTGTCTTTAAACTCATTTTTTTGTTTGTTTTTCAAAACAACAGTTTTCGAATTGGCTTGCGTGTTCACTCGGAAATAAATAATCCGATCACTGTCAGTTTTTTTCTGCATGTTCTGCATAAATTTCTCTATACAATGACCAGTAAGTTCTGCGATCCGGTTGACAGGTCGAAAACCAACAAAATTTTGGATAAAATTCAGCTTTTTTTTAAAGCGCCGAAATTTTATCTATTCTTGATATTTTTAGGCCGTAGGTCTTTGTACGGATAATATCTGTTAGAAGGGTATTTTTTTTTTGGTTTCATTCTTGAAGAAGAGCGAAATCACAGCAGCAGTGGAGGGCCTAGTTTTCAGCGCCGTCGAAGTTCGCGTGTAGCTCGAAAAATATTCAACTTTTTTCTTCAAACATTTTCTGTGTATTCTTATAATATCTACAAATATACAATTAAAAATTTTAAAACAATTGATAAAGCTGTTTTTTTATTTTCCAGAAAATCGCATTTTTTAAGCCATCACACTAGGCGTGCCTCTTAAATGTGGATTCGATAAAATTATGAATCCATTTGGATTATTTTAGAAAGCTATAATATTTTCAGTCGCTCCTCACAACTATTTGTTTTTAATATACAAACATATATGTATATAGAAGTATGAATGGCTTTCTAGAAATTATTTCCTCAACAGACCAAGACTCCAACAAACACTTGCAACAGCCTAACGCAAAGTGTTCTCTTCAACTGTTAACTAACATAGAACAACTTGAAATCGGATACAGCTTGCGGCCAGCGTTCCCTAACATAATTTTACCACACCTTAACCCTCTCATGCAGTGCACTAGCCAACGCACACCTGCTAACACCCACCCGCCCGCAAAGTGTCGGTATTCGCAATCGTACTTTGCAAGCGCCCGCTGATAGAAATCAAACACCCCTCGACAGCTCGCCAGTTGGGTCATTGAACCAGGTAGCTGCCAATGCACTGAATGAATGTTTGCACTTTTTAATGCAGGCGTTACCGTTAGCTATTCACATGCCGTTGTTTTGGTTTTCATTATTTTATTTTTTATTTTGTTGTGTTACAGCTTTAATGTTGGTATTTTCAATGCTTTCAACACCCTCAACACTCACGTTTGTAATACATGAACTCGCACGTATACTCACATGTTTTATATTTATGTATAAGTTAATATGTATATGTATGCATGTTAAGGTATTTATGTGGATTTGCAGAATGGTGTCACACCGACTTTTTGTTGTCACCTCTGACAGAGTCACGTTTTTTTTTTTTGTATTATATGTTGGGGTGCAGGCGTGTGGTTGTATTGTGTGCACATAAGGGTTAAATAGTTCATTGCTTTACGTTGGCTTTGTGTTTTCGATGAGATTTTTAAATGCCTTGAATTATGACACAGAATCAAAGAATTTTTGTGAAAAAATATCTTCAATATAAAGAGTTTTCTCAAGCATGGCACAAGTAGAATATGCTCCATTTAGAAGAATAGATTTCCAATTTTTAAAGTGTCTGCCGCAAGCAGCACAAGCTTATGAACAAAAGCCTGAATTAGCTTGAGTGTTTTTATAGCGTTACCGTTACTACGTTGTCACTAAAGATGATTGATGCAACATAACGACGAACCATGTGTTCACCCAATTTTAATTTTTCACTAGACTCTCATAAGAGATGAAGTCTAGTCTCTACATAAACATTGTAGTTAAATTGCTTACAAATTTACAGGAAGTCATATGGCGTTTAAGGTAGTCGGAATTTTCAAAAAACCGATTTTATTCGGCTTATCAATTAGTCAAAGATATTATCTTAGAAATATTCTGTGAAAATTTTAAATAAATACAACAAATACTTTACGAGTTATTAGATAATTTCCAAAGGGTTCTCGTGCGTACTGGAACTTTCGCGACCAGGTAGCTATCAGCAACTGCAAGCTTTACGTATGTATGTTAAAGTGAGTACAAAGCTTCAAATGTGTTTTTGCTCGAAATTATGATTTTTTAACTCATGACCACTGTGGCTTGAAAACCGCACGGTAGATTTCAATGAAATTTATAAAGCTTTTTGAAAACAAGACACTAATTTGCCTGATCGAAGAATTCTTTATTTTCAATTTTTAGTTTCGATTTTTTGTAAACAATTAACTGTTGGTTTTTTTCCGAAAATCTGAAAAATGTTTTTCTTTATTTTCTATTAATAAAAAAAATTATTTCGATTGATTTTAGATGAATCTCCAGGAATTAGTGCTGATTACCGCAACAAGCTTGAGCTGGAACCGTAATTTTTAGAGCCACCCTTGTTTGTCACTGCCCTCTGAGCGGCAACCTAGCATGATATCAAAATCGATTTTTTTTAAATAACATACTAAAAACCGATATTTCAAATAGTTTTTAAGTAGCCGCTTAGTTCAATCAGCTCCGCAAATTTATCTTGCTTAGGTGTGAACTCGGAGACAATTGATCTGAGCATGTTCAAAATTTTTCTGCATATTCTATGTATATATAGTTCTCCATACAATGACTGACCAGGTTTTCATCTCATCGAAAATAGAATTTTGGCAGGCCAAAACGACAAAAATTTTGTTTAAATTTAACATTCTTTTGAAAACGTCGCCATTTTTTAAGCTTTTGATTGGTTTTTTCAATCGTACGTCATTATATGAACAATTTCTTTCAATAGAGAACGCCGTCGGAGATCGCGTGTAACTCCTAAAATACATATTTAATTTTTTTCTTAAAAAAGTTTACTGTGTTTGCTTAAAATATGTTTAAATATAGCTTTAGAATTTTAAAACAATTAATACAATAGATCTTTTTTTTTGTAAATTCTTAAAAATCACCTTTTTTAGGCTGTCAAGTTGTGCCTCCTAAAATCTTGTTTAAAGTCAAAAAAAGTTAATTATATTCCCCCAAAGAGTTAGTAAAAAAAGTACGTTAAATAATGATTATTTATTTTTATTCATAAGTTTATATATATATTCTTTCAATTGTACTGTTATATTTTTAGTTTTGCCATACTATTATTTTTTTGTTGTTCTTGTTTTTATTTTTTAATTTTTTACTTTAAAGTTTCATTAGATATATATTTTTCTACATATTATTTTTTAATATTATGCTATTTTTGTGCACATACACGTTAAAATGCCGTCTTTTTCATTTTTTTCTAATATGTATGTATAACATTTTTGGTTTTTTGTTATTTATAGAGTATGCTCCATTTTTTTCTCTTTAATTATTTTCTTGTTTATTTATTTCTTTATTTTATTTGTTGTTTTAGTGTACGTGTATACAAGATAAACATTTACATATATCTGCGATTTATCGCTTCTACACATTCTAGTACTTAGACAGCGCCTAGTTAATTGAGGTTTCTTATGAGACTTTTCTTTTCATCTAGAGTTTGGCAATGGTTTCAATTTAAACAATTTAATTATAAATACAAGTTGTAAGTATGTTTATGTGTTAAATAATAAATAGTTAGCACTGTAGGTTTTTGTTTTTGGAAAATATTTGAAACATCTTACAGAAAAGAAAACAATATTCCAACCATAATTTGCTTACTCAAGGCAAGAAAAATACTTACAAAATACTACATGAATTCTTTTCGCGAAATGGATTTACTTTTTGACTAGAGAACCCATTCAGCAGACAATCCTCACTCTCATGCTCCAGCATGTATTTCATCATCAGCTGACATGCTTGTGACACCTGTATGCGCGGTACATTCGCCTCGCGTCGCAGCTGTTCGTTAATGATGCGCTGCTGTTGTAGATTAGCAGCCATAATGTCCAGTACGGCAGTCTCGGCGAGCCCTATGTTGCTGACGCTGTTGAAGGACGTAGATAGAAGGTATTTGGTTGGATCTTGGTGATCTTGATCTTGTGATTGGATCTTGTGGCAGACACACGTGCGTCAAAAATCCGATCAAAGAGGATGCGTAAATATGTAGGTATATGCAAATTGCTGAAATTTTTTCACCAGGAAGCAACAAAAATGTAGGATTGAGGGTTGGGAGGTTTTCAGCCGTGGGTTATGCTACTCTCTGCAACTTGATATGTTTATCTGGCACTAGTTTCGCATTTCATCTATAAAATTAATGTATATTCTATGCAATTAGATCATTTTCTGGTTAACTTACAAGCAAAAATTTTGTAGGAATGTGAAGTACACGAGCGCTGATTTTGTTATGCTCCCATATTGCGAGAACTGATAAGAAAATTCTAAAAATCAATACTTTAGACACTTCGCTAATATCCGGTAGATGGTGCTAATATCATTGTTAATTATTCCGTTAGAGCCGAAATAAGGCAATATATAGGCGATTTTATGGAATACTCGGAATTAAGTTTCTTATAACAATCAATATAGAAAATTCAAGAAATGGCATTTAAAATGATATATATAAAATAATAATAATGTATAAAAAATCTTTAATAATTTTTTTATATAATTTTCTTTTTTTAAACTTTTATTGCATTTGAAATTATACCATTATTAAATTAAACGGCAAGTTGAAATCCATCGAGAATATTCTTACTTTTATTCACAATAGCAAGTAAGTCTATTTTGAAGCAACATTTTGTGGTCATCCGTCATTCTTCGAGTTGAGTCGTGTGTGAGGTTAAAGTCGGCAATTTCTTTAATTCCGTTTATATCTAAGCATTGTGTTTCCAAAGAATCTGTGAAGAAAAATGGCTTTATCTGTACCAAAAGCTCCAGGCGTAGCGCAAATGCTAAAGGATGGCGCACGGGTGAGTAAAATATGCCAACCAAGAAAACACTATATTCTAAATTTTGCCATACAAACTAAATAAACGCAAAAAATGGAACAGCGTGCGGCGTTTTCAACACAGCTGGCTGCGCCTATTCATTAGTCACCAAAGCGTGTGATCTGTATATTAATATAAAATAAGAATATTTTTATAGTTTATGTTAATTATGATTTGTAATTTCTTTTATAGATGTATAGTGGTCTGGAGGAGGCCGTCTACCGTAATATCACCGCCTGCAAGGAATTCGCGCAGACAATGCGTTCCGCTTATGGTCCCAATGGCATGAATAAAATGGTCATAAATCACATTGACAAACAATTTGTAACAAGTGATGCTGGTACCATTATGCAGGAATTGGATGTGGAACATCCAGCTGCAAAACTTATGGTTATGGGCAGTCAAATGCAGGATGCAGAAGTTGGTGATGGTACCAATTTCGTTGTTATCTTTGCGGGAGCTTTGCTCGAGGCGGCTGAGGAACTGTTACGTTTAGGTATCACCACTTCTGAAATTGCTGATGGTTATGAAAAAGCTTTAGAGAAGTCATTGGAAATTCTACCTAAACTTGTTTGTCATGAAATCGAGGACTATCGTGATGTAAACAAAGTTACTGAGTGCCTTAAAGCCGCCATCATGTCAAAACAATACGGGCAAGAAGATTTTCTTACCGAATTGGTAGCAAAAGCATGTGTTGCCATATTGCCCAACCAAGGCACATTTAACGTGGATAGTATACGTGTTTGTAAAATTTTGGGCAGTGGTTTGGGCAAATCCGAAGTTGTGCACGGTATGGTCTTCAAACGTTTTGTTGAAGGTGATGTAACATCAGCAGAGAATGCTAAAGTAGCTGTCTTTTCGTGCCCTATTGATATCATACAGACTGAAACAAAGGGAACTGTTTTGATCAAGTCTGCGGATGAATTAATGAACTTTTCAGCTGGTGAAGAAAATCTTTTGGAGGCACAAATTAAAGCTTTAGCCGATGCTGGCATTAAAGTTGTTGTGTGTGGCGGCAAAGTGGGTGATATGGCACTGCATTTCCTGAATAAATACAAACTTATGGCCGTGCGTTTGAATTCCAAATTTGATCTGCGTCGTCTTAGTCGTACAGTAAATGCAACAGTTTTGCCACGCATCACCACGCCAACTAACGAAGAGTTAGGTTACTGCGACAAAGTGTGCGTTGAGGAGCTAGGTGGCACAACCGTGGTAGTTTTCAGGTAAACTAAACAAACAAATTAAATTATGGGAGAAAACATATTAACATATCCTATTTAAAATTTTCAGAAACACAGGAAAAGATGCACGCATATCTACTGTCGTCATCCGTGGCGCTACCGATAATTTCATGGATGATATTGAACGCGCGGTAGATGATGGTGTCAATAATTTCAAGTGTCTGACACGTGATGGACGTTATCTGCCTGGTGCCGGTGCCACTGAGATTGAATTGGCTTCACAATTGGCAGTCTATGCCGACACATTACCCGGTCTCGAGCAATATGCTGTACGTAAATTCGCCACTGCTTTGGAGGTATTCCCCAAAGCCTTGGCTGAAAACAGCGGTGTGAACGGCACTGATGTTGTAAATGCATTGTATCTGGCTCACAAAAAATCAACCGGTCAAGTTATTGGTTTCAACATTGAAACCGAGAAAGCAGACACAATCGACGTGACCACAAAACCAATCTTCGACCTGTTTCAAGCGAAATATTGGGGTCTTAAGTACGCCGTGGGTGCAGCTACCACAATTCTGAAGGTTGACCAAATAATAATGGCAAAACGTGCAGGAGGACCAAAGCCACGACAGAATGCCGGCAGTGATGATGAAAGCTAGAGTGTTATCGTTTGAAGTGGCGTTGGTTTATATTTGCATTAACTTCCTATGTATTACCATTTCTCATTAAAAAGTAATTTACTAAGTTATCTGCTACTTACAAATATTTGACATAACGTATGAAATTTTATAAACAAAATAATACGATATTTCGCAAATTGGTCAACCAAAATAAAAAAAAAAATTATTTAACAATGTTCTTTTTTCAATGTATTATAAATAACAACGCTGTGTGCACAGAGCTTCGCAGTAACAGCAATAAAGTTTGCAAAAGTTTGGGCAACGGTCGGAACAAGCTCATGCTAAAAATCTAAATTGTTTACATTATTAAATTAGACAATCAATATGTATAAAAAGTTAAGTTCAACAAATCTGTGAAGAAACAGCTTTGTAGCTATGTAGCTCTCGCTACGAAAACAGCTCTGAAAGAGATTCTTGGCGCATCGATATTTTAAAACATTTTTCCAGCTACATATAAGGTTTTTCAAACACTGATTTGCCATTTTAGACGGCGACTCAAAACCGTTTAGTTATCGCAATTTGCACAAGTATTGTTTACATTGTCCAGGTTGTGTGTTTATGGTTGTAGGACTTGGTTGCGATATACATATATATCAAGAATGATAGAATACATTCTATATGTCTGTATGTATATAAAGTTTGAAAATTTAATGTGAAATTATGAAAATGAATCCACCCTTCCATAAAGAATAAAGAAATAAATACACTTATTTATGGGTTCCTCTAGGTAACACATCTAAATTTTATTTGAATCCAAGCAAACGAATATTCATTGATATTTTGTTGTGAATGTGGTGTTTCTGTTGCTATTGGAAATTCATTCAAATATGTTACGAATTCCATCATTTTCAACGATTCAATATTAAGTAAATACAAGAAAGTGTTTTCTTATTTAATTTGTTGTTCGAATAAATATTGCGTTAATAATTTGTATATTTGATTTTTTTGTCTTTCCTGAAAAAAACAACTTGAAGAAATAATTTATGCAAGCTCTTAAAGTTATACAAATTTCTTTGAAGAATAAAAATTCAATTCGAAGTATACATGCATAAGCTTCTTTATATATATGTATATATGTGCAGATTTATGCCATTTGCAATAATTATTTTATTATGTAGTGCTACGATATGAGCACTAAATTGTTTAAATTTAAATAAATTTTTATTAATTTTTTTTTGGTGGTACTTTCTCTATTATAAATTTTGCGCATCAGGTTCTTTATTATTATTAATTTTTGTCTATTTTTTGTCATAATTAAATTGATATATTTGTATTTTTATACGTTTTTCAACAAGTTGTATTAGATATATGTATCACCTTGTTATAATATATATATATTTATTGAATTGAAGGTCACACATTTATATGTTGTCCTATATAGTGTTATTAATTAAATTCTTTGTCTCCTTACGAATTAATATTTATTAATTGAAATATAACTGTATTCGTTACTTAGTATTTTACGCATCAGGATGTTGTAACTACTTTGATAAATTTTAAATTCAATGTTTATATATATTTTGTATTTTCAACTTAAACGAACGACGTTAATGACCTTTAAAGCGATTTCCCTACATTTACATAACTTAGCAACAAATGCCACTGCAGTTTGACAAATGTCGCCATACCAACGCTAACGACAGTTGCTTTCTAAAATTCACTCCATTTGCATATTATTAAGTTTGAGTTATTTTAATTGCCCCCCACTTCAGAACATTAACATTTGTTTTTTTTAGATAATAAGCCCATTTTAGAACTTTATTGTTGTGAATAAAAGAATCTGCATTTAGATAGGAATAAACGGCATTAAAAAAATATATTCTGAATATAAACTTTTGAACATTTATCGCGCCACTTTCTTATTAGCATTTGCACTTTTGACACCTCTTTAACGGTTTGCCTAACTAAAGTCCAGTTAACAATAGCCTATTCGTTGCTTTCGAAGAAATATCATCTAATTAGATACAAACAACTATTCCTTGCTATTAATCGACATATGTATGTATATGCGTCATATGATTTCTACTGCCAAACACAAATACTTTTAAATAATGGAAGTAAGGGGATAAGATCGTTCAGTTAATCGAAATAAACGATTTAAATTTCACAATTTTTTTTTCTTTACTTTTTGATTATACGCTATATTTGCGGAAGTAGAGTTTGCGATTTTGGCAACAATTTAAAGGAAACACTTAACACATACACAAACTAACAATTTTACAACACATAATTTTATAAAAATCTATATGTACATATATACCATTATTATTTTGTTAACTTAATGTTGCATTGCTTTACAAATTATATCACAAGTTATCATTTTATCCCCTACTTAATTAATTGTTAATTTCATAAAATATATTTATTTAATGCATTTTATTTTTGCCTTAAACAAGTGGAAAAAGCATCCGAAAGTAATATATTTGAAATTAAATAAACTATACTTTGCCATTGATTGGTTGCATACCAGAACGATTTCGTTTTTTTTTTGTATTCCTCCGGCCATGCCCATCTTATATCACGTCGATTGTAACATGCTTCAGTGATATTCAAATGTTATTGTTTTTGTTGACTTGTGAAAAGCATTCAAAATGTTATATATGCATATTATTTTTAAAATTTGTCCGCGTAAATTCCATACTATTCATATTGTTTTGCTCTTGAGAGTCCCGTTGTGCACACATCTCTTTACAACTCTAGTTAATACTAAAAGTCTATATCGTTTATAAATATGCATAGGAAATCCGCTTTAAATGTGCCATACTTGTTGTCGTTCGTGCTACATATATTTTGTTTTCGTGTGATGTTTACTTTATATTTGATTAATTTATTTAATAAAATTTTTAATATAGAATTTGTTTATAATAATTTACTGAACTTTAGTTGAGTTTGAATAAAATATTAACTAACGTTTAAGCTTGATAAATATTTTGATAATAATACAATCAAATGTCCGCTAATATTACTAATTTCGTGTAATCATCATAAATGTTATATATATATAGCATGATTATGCTTTTTTTTATAAATCGCGTGCATAGTACGAATATATAGGCTGTAATTAGTTAATTTGCCTTTCGTAAACTGTTCAACTGCTTGGATATCCGCGTTTTTGGTTGAGTATACGTTTTATTCTTTTTAACCGTTTAAATATCGTTAGTAAATTGCTTTGCTTTTTAGTGCGCAACTACAAAGCGCGCTTTAACAATAACTTAAGTTTTAATATATATTTGTTTCCACTTCGTTTATATGTATATACTACTTGTTGCTAAGTGCCTCCGTGGTATAACTTCTATTTATTTTTGTTTCAATTTGTAATAAAATATTTGCTTTACTATCCAACTTCATAATGAGTAACGATCATCTCACTCGTTCTATGCCCAACTTCTACCTACAACCGCTCACATTTAGTACATAAGATATGTGTGAGTCCATCCTAATAGTATTTAAATCGGTTTTAAGTGCTTACTAAATAGTTGCTGCATCGATAATGATACAAATTGAATTTTGGTGTGTTTGAAAACAAAAAAAAATGTTTGTTGGATATTTTGCCAATATGTAGGTTTACTTTATTTGTAATATTTTCGTTTAGCATAGAGTATATAGGTATATGTATTTATAAATGGGTTTACACAGAAATATAAAGAATTATTAATTTTTTTTTGTAATGTGTGCAAGTGCACAGTCTGTATCGTGTAAATGCGAGTGTGTAAGTGTGTTTTATACAAGATAACATGGCTTTCGGGAATCTAATGTGAACTATTACATACTTTTTTGTTAAGAACTTTGTGGTGGTTCTATTTATTAGTGGTCTTTAAATTGCTAGTCAAAGATTTCGTTTCACCACACATTTTTCACTCGGCCTATAATCATAGTACATTTTTTTGGTTTACAAATTGTAGATAAATATATATTTGTGTATATAATATGTTTGAATGTGTTCAATAAGATGAATAGTTTAGTATATAATTCATCAACAAATGCGTATGTATGCGTAGACATCTGTATATGTGTTTACTTGATTTAGTTATTTGAATTTCCTTCATTTTTTGGTTTAATATGTGTACTTAATTGTCCAATAGTACTTGAGATATTGTTCGTATTCAAATTGTATGCGTTCACTGTCTCGCTCATCGCCAAATTTGCACTTTCCACTCGCCCTTCTTGTACGCTTCCTCATTCAACATGTTTTTACATCTACAATACACACGCACACACGCCCACCCACTTTACAGTAATTAATTTACTGCAAAAATCCAATTTCAAATTCGTAGAAAAAAGTTGTACATTCCGATAAAGCCTTCCACCAAACTTCTCCTCCTCTGCTTACATACTCCACAACGTCAGTATCGGCAATGACAACGCGTTTTCTAGCTTAGCATGATGTATATTGAAAATAGTTTATAGCACGGTGCATGATGACTTCTCACGGAAGGGATTTACTTTCTGACTGGAGAAACCAGTCAAAAGATAATCCTCCTGTTCGTGCTCGGTGATATATTTGATCATCTGAGCGCAGGACTCAGTGACCGGTTGACGCGCGATGGACGCTTCGCGTCGCAATTGATCGACGATTATACGTTGCTGTTGCAGTGAGGATGACATTACGTCCATAACGGCTGTCTCGGATAGGCCTATGGTTGAAAATTCGCACAATATTTGTCGTAAAGAATTTGCAAAGTTGTTTGTGAGATTTTAGTTAGAAGTGTTGTTGGTTTTTACGTTTTGCTTATATAAAAAGTGCTTTTTGGATGTAGTATGTGTTTTGGTATTGTAAAGGTGCTGGTAATAAAGTAAATTCTAACAATTTTTTCTTTTTTTTTGTAATTTTTGATGTGAAGATTGGTAGGGTTTTCTTGAAAAACTGCTGCAAATATGTCCAAAAGAAAGAAAAAATGCAAAACAAAAATGTAGATGCATAATGAATTAAATCTATATTTTGCAATTGGATTAAGGATATTTTTTAGTAGACACATTTAATTAATATTATTCAGGCAGCATGTTCAATAATTAATCTTGTTAGGAGTGAGTTGTTTCTACCAGAGGATATATAGATGTATAGAAGAATTAGAAATTTAGCGCAACAAAAAATTTCGAAGTAGTTTTATTACCAGGCAGTCCGTAAACAACATGCTTCTTCTCAGATTTTGTGTTAGTTACATTTAAATTTTATTATGATAATGTTACTTTAAGATCGTCATCACATCGGCAACAAATATACGATAAATTAAATGTATTAGCCGGAATTTTTCTCTCACACATATGTAAATATGTTAATGTTAACAAACAATATTAATAAGATTATTTTCAAAAAACTAATATGTACATATAGTATATATGGTGTATATAAAGTTAAACATTTTTGTTTGTACATACACATGTATATATACACTAATACAAAATGGGTGCATGAGTTATCTCAAATATCTGCTAAAAATGGATTTTTTTCAAGGATCTTGGGTATGGATTCAGTGCGCACTTTTACTCAATTACGCTTATTACAATATTATCATATTTTTATTTATTAAGTGAAATATGCCTATCTGATAAAGTTGAGATTTAAATGCATTTAATTTTCCATAGTAACCGAAAATCCAATAAAGTAATAAAAATTAAAAACGAAACTTAAAATAGCTGTAAATTTTAATTATTTCTCTAATTTAATCGATTAATCATTCACTTTTCTGCAATATCCCCCAAAACAAGGAGCAGTTAACCAAGCCCTTGGTTGGGGGTGGCATTTCAATACTGCTATTTTTTCTGTTCAAAATCAATTGCTTAACTCATAGTTACTTTAATCAAAAAATATTTTATTTTCTGCATTAAGAGAACTTCCAAATATTAGTTGTTTAATGATTAAGGCATGATTAAACAGTTCCATAGATTCCCCCGACATACTTAAGTATGTACATCCATTTTTTCACTACGCAAATACTGATCATATGCACACATTTTACTTATTTCACAACACAAATTTTATATTAGTAAAAGTATGGAAAGTAACTAAATTATTTAGTAATTTACCAGCGCCTTAGTAAACTTTATTTGACTATATTTTTGCTGTACAAATGTAAAAGCAATCCAAAATAAGATGATACACACCCTAGAAAGCAAATCTCGCTAATTTCCGTCTTTTTATGTATTTGACATTTTGTTTTGCTCGCAGAAAAGGAAAGAAATATGCAAATTTCAACTAAACAAAAGTTGTAGCTGCAAGCAATGTGTCAAAATGAGATAGCTAAACAGTGCTTTAGATATGTCAAATTCTATCCAGGGTAGCCAGCCCCTCTCGTTGCAATAATGCTGGTCGTAAAGATTGTAAAGTTATTGTTATTAATCTATATTTCCTTGTATTCTATAAAAAAGAAAAAATTATATGGAGTTTTGAGCCTATTTTCAATAAATTAAAAAAAAAATTATCATATTTGATTTAACATTTAAATTTGGTTTACACTATTGTGAATTGTTCATAAGCAATTACATTTAGGGGTGGTTGATTGCGCTCAGCTGTTTTATGACACTTTTGTTACTATCGTTTTCCAAAACAAATGCTAGTCTTAACATGCAAAAAAGTGTAGCAAAATTTAATTAACTCATGAAAGGACATGAAATTAAAACGTTACATTAATCATTTGTGGTTGCGACATCGCAACACAGATGAAAATTGGTATACGTATTTATTTTTTGCGGTGCTTCGAGTTGTTCTCGTATTTATTCCCCAAAAGGGCTATGTTCATCCTGATGAGTTTTTCCAATCCGTGGAAGTGATGACTGGTAAGCTAACAGAATATTTTCAAGAAAAAATCAAACATAATTTCTTTATCAGGTGATCATTTCCAATTAGAACACGCACGCACTTGGGAATTTAACAATACTATGCCGGTACGTAGTATAACATTGCAATTTGCGCTTTTACGTATTCCATGGAGTTTTCTTGAATTCGTCGCCTTGTACATGCGTCGCTATTGGGATATAGAGTTATTACAAAGTTACACTTACTTAGTCTTTCCCCGATTAATAATGTGTGCGTTATCTTTTATCAACGATTGGAGTATGTTCCGCATATGTCGTTTATTCAGCTTAAACTATGAAATACGTCTGCTGACGCTTGGCAGTTCCTGGGTTATGTTAATTTTTGGCACACGTACGTTTTCCAACACTATAGAATTGGCTTTATGTTCACTACTGCTCGCACTTGTGGCCGAATGCATGATAAAAACAAATACTATTATTTACAAGAAAGAAATGCTTGAAGAACGTTATGACAAGGCGAAATCTATAAGCGAACGCGTAAGAATGTGGCGACTGTGTAAATCACTACCAGCACATAACTACTCCCACACGCTACTTGTGGCCAACATTTGTGTTGCTGGTGTCTTCAATAGACCTACATTTATAGTTTATGGTGCACCAATGGTATTTTATTGGATGCTTCGTGGCATGGGTACAAAAACGATAACTTTTCGCGATTTTAATTTTCGCATGCTTCTGTTTTGCTTAAGTGCTCTGCCGGCGCTTGTATTATTTATAATTTGTGATTCATTTTATTACAAATACTTAACGGTTGGTGAGCTGCAAATGTTGCAATTGAGCATTAACAACTTCGTCAGTACACCTTGGAACTTTATTAAATACAATTTAGATGCGAAAAAGACCGCCGAGCATGGCATACATCCGAAATATGTACACTTTATAGTTAATATACCATTGCTGTACAATGTGCTCGGTATAGTGACTATTGTATCGTTTGCGTATCTTTTGATTCGTTTTCTGCGCGCTGAATACCAAGGTTTGCCGCGTGCGCAAAGCATTATTAGCTTGATGACTAGCGCAATATTTGTGCCACTCTTCTTTTTATCACTCATCAATCATCAGGAGCCACGATTTCTTTTGCCACTACTATTTCCTATAGTCCTCTTACACGCACCCAAACTTTATCATGGTCTATGTCCAACCTACCCTTTCAAAGAGGAACATCCGTTATTGCGCAAAATTTACAATATGCTGCTTTGCACACAAGCATCTGCGCGGCCATTAATGAAAACCTGGTACATGTGCAACATTGCGCTTGCCATCTTCTTTGGTTTCATCCATCAAGCCGGCATATTTCCACTCACTCAACATTTTGAGGCGGTGATGCAAACTAAATCTCCCGCACAGCATATACATCTCATTACGTCGCACATCTACAGCGTACCATTGACTTTTATGAATATACCTAGCGCACAAGTGTTGCATTTAAATCGCGAAACTGGACGACATTATCGAAGGCATAAGGATTTTTACATTTATGAATATGGTAGTCTTGACATGCCACAGCTGTTGGGCAAAATTAAGCTTATACTGTCATATTGTGAAAATAAATACGTAACAAAACAACAGCAGTACAGCCTCTATTTAGCTTTGCCCGCCGCCTTAAGTGACAGCATGCTCGCAGAATTTCAAGCGATTGACGCTAGCGCAAATATTCGCACACAACTAATACGCATTTTCTATCCACATTTGTCGACAGAGGCGCTGCCACGCTTTCATATAAAACAACATGCCGCTGCACACTCCAAGTTAAGTTATACTTATGTGAGTGAACAGTTGTTATCCTTCGTAAGTGAATTCGGATTAGCGCTCTACGAGCTAAAACCTGTACGCAAAAGTCAGCCGGAGAAGTTGCATACCGTTAAGATGTCCAAACGGAAAATATAAGTGCTTTGTACAAAAACTGCGTTGAAATCATTAATTTAACTAAATAAATATATGCTTACTGAAAGTCACTCATTCTAGTCATATGTGCAGGCGTATGAATGTATTGCTTAAATTTAACATTCCACTGTATTATTTGTAAAGTATTTTTTTAACTAAATAAAAATTTATATATTAAAACAAAAAACAGTTTGACAGCCAAGTATGGACTTCCCTTTCATTTCTAATTTAAATTCCGCTAATCACATTCCCGTGTTAGGTATATTTACAGTTATTTGAAAACTTGTTTTCTGTTTTATAAACGTATTTTTTATTCCAAATATATAACGAAAGTACAAAATATGGCTGCCAATGTACCAAGAATTAACGCATACGCGTACACAATTTGTAGAGCTTATTAGTATAAGGAAGAGTTGTATAAATCTTAAGAAAGAAGCAGTTATAAAAGATCACAATACAATACTTATTGTTGTTGAAAATATTAACGACGACGACTCTGAACAATTATTGGTATTTAAATAATAAAATAATAAGGTGTTCAAATAATCACATCAATAATTTAAAAATTACGAACGAAAATTAGCATATCAAAGTTATACTTACAATATAAATAAGCTATAGATAGATATTTTTAAGATTGCATAGGCCGCAAACACTTACAATTAGAGATTTTTTTTTTAATATTTAAAGTTGCAAGTAGAATTATCTATTCCATTATCGAGGTGTTCAGTAAATGTTCTTGTGTTGCGTTCGGGCTGTTACCAGATATCTCCGTCAATTGATCTAGTATTTCTATAGAACCAAAAATTGAAATGCAATAATTTGTGTTAATTGCGTACTTTTCTTACCCGAAATTTGCAAACTGGCCGAATTTTGCAAATAAAAATTACAAATTTTCTGTGTCTCTGCAGATTTTTGACGCTTAAACATCACTGTACGCAAACTTTCTTCTGTCAAACAGTAAACAGATAAATAATTATTTAGGTGGAAAAAAAAAACATTTATGATAAAAGTACCCACTCCGACGCATACTGCTGCCAGCGCTACTACTGCGACACTGCCTGAACTGATTTTGCGCGCCATCGTTTAATTTTGTATTTGATAGCACTTTATCGTTTTGAAATATTGAACATTTAGAATAGTTACCACGCATGGAATCGCTTACCGCACGCCTACGTGGCGTAAATACATCGGTTTCATTGCGATACAATATGCTGCAAATGCTCGGTTCTATACTATCTAGTATATACTGCGATGCATTCAAGTCAATTGTTGTTTGTATATCAGTAGCAGTGCTTTGTATAACAGTAAGATTCTCTTCAACTTTTTTGTCTGACACATTTTCGGTTGGCTCAAGCGCATCAACGAAACGGCGCAAAATAGCACGCAGTATTTTAAAACGTTTCATTATACGCACGTCATCCACTTGATCGGCACATACTAAAATGGCCCGACATTCATTTAACATCAATTTGTATTTTTGAAAAAGTTCTAGTGCATTATTTTTAAGTTTTGGAGAGTGTAGCAGTTCTTTTTTGTTGGCAGGATATTGAAAATATTGCAAGAGAAATTCGCCCATTTGTACCAAATCTTCCAAATTCGATTTGTTAAATTGCTTTTCCGTGTCAGCAAGGCATGAGTGAAACAATTCGTAAAAACATCTAGTGATCGGTTGTGCATCGACAATTTCATATAAAACTGTTTTGAACTTATTAATTTCTTCATAAAAATGCTGCTCCAGTATTTCAGTATGCATATCAGTGCCGTTATATGCTTGCAATGAGGGTATAATACATGAATCTAGTGCTTCCAGTGATGCCATACAACTGCGCACCAAAGTCTTTACTGTAATTTAAAATGAGTATTGTATATAAATTACCTGACTATAAAAAAAAAGGAAAAAGTTTACATTTGGGCTTCAAGGCGTCGCTAGCAGCAAAGAGTCCAATTTGTGATAATCTATCTAGATTTACATCAAAATCTGCTATGAATTCATCTAACTCGGTGTCGTCTGCTCTGTTTTGGCGCATCTTAGCGCGCAGTTTATCCAATGAAAACTTTTCTAAATCTGCGAAACAAAGGAATATTAAACGCAAAACGGTGCCATCAATGTACTGATGCAATTGCGTTAATGAGGCTCCCAGTGCGATTGCTTTTATTCTGCGATGCCAATTATTAGTTCGTATGAGTTTCAAATTGCTTTGACATTCCTGTTGAAATGCAGTGCATTCTCGCAAGACCTAAGGGCATAAATCAGTAAGTTAATTGTTCTTTTCATTATAATAACAATGTTTTACCTTTTGACATAAGGCACTGATGGCTGTTTTATCCTCAATCAATGCGACATTTGCTAGCGCAAGTGCATGACTGATCATTAAACGCACGGCCTGGTAAACTTCTTTACTGGACTCTAGTGCCTAATTTTATGTGAAATTTATATGAAAAAATAATCGATTTATTTGATTTTCAAAATATACTTACCATTTATTGTACAAAATCAAAATCTTCTCATTATTGATAGTAAATAAAAACTTACATCTTCAAGTTGGTTTAGTTCATCGGTATCAATATTCTCATCTTCCTGGTAAGTATTGTACTCTTTTAAGTGATCCATTGCAATATCTAACAAGGTAATAAATCCATAACCAGACATTAACTGTTTAGCTGATTTATTCTCAGGATTGCATAAATTACTAAAACTTTTTTCTAATTTGTCGAAGCACAACATTATGCGATCAATAAAATGTTTCCGAGAACTCTGTTTGGGATTAGATAATTGCAATTAAACGTTTTTCTGCATACTTTACACATACTGGTATTGCAATACGAGCAGTATCCTCCGCTCGTATAATTCGTTCCAGATATTTTGTACACAAGCATACTTGAGCCAAGCAAAGAAAAATGTTATCCATCATTTCATTTCCCTCATGATCTTCTTCCTTCATTTCACTGGCGATAAATTTGTGCAGGTGGTTGGCAAATAAATAAAAATCACCACAGAAATTCTGCAAATGTAATTACTATTATACCTAATCAAACATTTGCATTAGTATCTTACATTTAACCACTCTATGCGGGTTTTCATATCGCTGGAACCTAAATATATTTTTTCTCGACATTTCGTTAATTGAGTTCTCAGCACTTGTAGTTTTACCGATGTCATAATTAAATTTTTAATTGTAAAATATTTTGCTGATACAATTAAATTTTTTCAATGTTCCGTTGACTATTCAAAATTGAATTTGTTTCTTATCTTCTTCCCATAATAAACCAGTCACAATTGCATAAAGTTTTCTACTGTTCACAAATTCCCATTGCCATATACATAAACGAGTATTTTGAAAATCTTCATTTCTTTTATATGGAGATGCAGCAAATATTTCCAATAGTTTGAATTAAAAATGTTCGAAAATTTACATTGGCCTTTCTTATCTTATTTTTCTATGATTAGCTAATTGTTTGATGCATTGTGAATAATACATAGAATGTTTTCGCCCTATTGACGTTTCTGATTTTGTCTTTTGGCATTGACAATCAACTTTTCGCTCATTTTCGCCGTCATTCGACGTTTTTCTTTCAGTAATGTCATAAAGAATATTTTTATTTTTTGATTGGCACAGGAGTTATTTCAATAGCAGCATTTTCGAAATCTACTCAAAATTGTTATTTAATTGAATTATTTGCTAATATATAAACAAATGCAGCAATCATAATAGTGCAAATTAAAGTGAAAAGTGTAGTACAAGTGGTCATATTGATCGTTTAAGAAACAAGACCTTTTACAAGTGTGTGTTCAACATAGTGAAGTGGAAAAATGAGTTCAACTGCTAGCCGCAAGGAAAATGAAAGGACCAAATTAATACAAGAAAAATGCCAAACTCTGTTGACTCAGATGCTTCGCGATGAGGACAATAAATATTGCGTCGATTGCGATGCAAAAGGTAAGAGATATTAATGAAAAAATATAGATGCGGCACTCGGGGGGGAAAAATTGTCATTTCATACTGGGATACCAACACACAAATCATTAAATCTACAGTAATCATTAAAATATGCCAATCCTTAAATTTTGCTCCCAGTGTAAGGTGGGTGCAGTCGATAACATTAGTGTCAGTAATATTGACAATGTTTTATTTTAATACAAACTTATTTGGCAGCAATGCAATGAGAGACCATTTTTAATGAATATAAAATTATTCATAAGATACGTGACGACCAAATTTAGAGCTATTTCAAATTAAGATTGAACAATCCAACGCTTGAAGTACAAAAAATTATATTCCATAGTTGCAATGTGCGAACCACTTACGTTCCCTAATACCGCTGTCAATGATATGAATATCGTTGTCGGATTAAAGTTGACAGGTTACGTGTCTATGAGTGTAACAGTAAATTTAATGTGTTAATTTGTCTCGTTTATAAATTCCTTATCATACTTTGGAAAAGAGCAAAATTGATTTTAATACACCCTAAAATCAATTTCTGCCATCATAATTTTTAAAAATCATTTTCCATTATCAGTTGAAAATTGCTAAAAATCAATATAAACCAGAAAGGTAATTTTGTTTTTTTTAATTTTAACGTAATATGTTCACTAGTTTTTTGCACTGATAAGTTATCTCTTAAGGTATTTAACTTTTGAAGTATTTGCTTTGAAGTACAGATCCTTTTTGCCTTACTTGCAACCAACATTTAATTAAAATTACTTTACTATTCATATATAATTTGGTTATGAGTCACAGTTTAAATATCTATTTGTTCAACAAATGTAAAGATCACATGGGAATATGAGCGCGAGAGAATAGAGTAGCATTTCGATAAAGCATCTCTTACAACTTTCATTAAAAAATCGATGCACTAACCACGCAGACATTTTGTTGTTGCCAAGCAGTGTTAAACTGATAAGCAATTTCTACTGTTTACGTTTTGTGATATACATATAAAGCCATACATTTGCATTATTGCTAACAATTATTTACTCAAAAATAATTTCGACATTTTTAGGTCCACGCTGGGCATCATGGAATCTTGGAGTATTCTTGTGCATACGCTGCGCAGGTATACATCGTAATCTTGGCGTACACATATCACGTGTTAAATCGGTTAACCTAGACACTTGGACACCAGAGCAAGTGATTTCATTGCAACAGATGGGCAACTCGCGTGCGCGTGCCGTGTATGAAGCACAGCTGCCAGATGGTTTTCGACGGCCTCAGACCGATACAGCGTTGGAGTCTTTTATACGCGCTAAATATGAACATAAAAAATATTTAGCACGTGAATGGGTGCCACCATCGCCGCCTAAAGTAGACTGGGCGAAGGAAATCGATGAAGAATTAGAGCGACAGAAACGTAAGAAAAAAGCAGCTCAAGCTTGCACTTCAATGGGATTGAGCGTGATGAGTGCTATTGGTGGCGGAGGTGATAAGAAAAGTAGTACATCTTTAGCATCAGTATCTAAATCAACGCCACTACCAGCACCGTTGCCAAAACCGAAGGCCGGACAAGCTGGAAGTGGCTGTAGCCCTAAAACTCAGCGTATTACAGCAAATTCCAACGTTGGCGAAGGCAATCAGAGCAGCGATTTGCTGGGTTTGTCCTCACCCACAAAACCCGTCCAGAATAGTATGGGTAATAGTACAGGACAAGATTTGCAAAACGACAGCTTCACCGGTTTTCTTAGTGCAGTACCATCCGCAGCGTCACAAACAGATCAAAATAAAGCAGCGGAATTGAATGGACAAAATGCCACACAAAATTCGCTTGCAAAAGATGAGGAAGACTTCTTCAATCAGGGATCTCTGAGTGGTGGCGAAAAAGATAAATCAGGGAAGCTTACTAAAGATAGTATATTAGCATTGTACGGTACAGCAACAACCAGCAATGTAGCCTCCCACAATCCGCACAGCGGCCAATTGCCTTTTAACCAACCGCAACCGATGTTTGCTGCAACTGGGGCCTATTCGGGTGGCATGGCTCCTGGTTATATGAGCGGTGGAGGTGCACCACATCCTCAGCAACATCAATTCATGACACCGCCAAATTCCACCAGCATGTATAATGCTCCCGTTATGACGGCTCCTACGGCATTCACCACACCCGGAATGCATTTGGGTGGCGCTGGTGCAACTGGTGGTTTTGGTGCACAGTTTCCGGGAACGACTAGTACTGGCGTGTACACACAGCAACATATGTCCAGCCTAGGAAATATGATGACTAACAATGGGCAACCAGTTAGCAATTTAAATCTAATGCACGCAAATCAAAATCTACTGAGCGGAATGTCTATGATGGGCATGGGCGCAACTACGACGGGAATGATGCAACAGCCACCAATGAGTATGAGTATGCCATTGGGGAATATGCAGATGTCAAGTGCGTTTCAAGCCGCACCAACTGCTGGGCCCGGTGCTACGTCCACCAATACACACGGTCTAAACCAGCAATTCAGCAACTTAAATATCGGTAATGTGTGGCAGTGAGCGGACGGTGATTTGCGGGTTGGTAATCTATAACGCCTGCGTGGTATGTCGTCAAAACTCAACTTGCCTTGTTCAATATTTCGCAATCGTAAACACCGTCAACGGTGTGTTGTCGTCTTAAGTGTACATCAAAAAGAGGGAAATATGCTTAGTAATTATATTCAAAATACTTAAAATATATATTTAATATTCCTTTAATGATTCGATAAACAAATCAGTATAGATATGGAAAATGTGTTTTCTAAAATTTGCCACAATTTAACATGCTTATTAATTTCCAAAGTCGTTTTTTAAAATAACGCATTAAATTTCCTAACTTGCATGTAACAAGAAAATACGACGGAATTAAAAATGTTTTGTCTAGAATAGAAAACCACGTATATTATTAATTTTCAACAATATTATTATTATTTTTTTTTCAATTTATGTCCAGTTCATCATAGTACTCGAAATTAATTATCTTTTCGTTCCTAAGCATGTATCAAACATCAATGTCTAATGGATGCAGTACTTAACGTACCACACAGTATAAATCTTTGAACCATGAATGTATAAAATAAACGTCAGCTGTCTGTCGTAAATATTACAAATTTTAATATACCGCTAAAGTACGCGTGCAAGAGTATGAGGGAAACTATTATTAAACTTTTTAAATGCAATATATAAATACTTTATTTTTACATACCGTATAATGATTTACTATATTTTATTAACATTCGGCTGTCAGTTCTATGGCTTAACAATCCTCGATCAGCTGTATTACTTAAATCGAAATATTGAAAACTGAGACGATGTGAAAAATATGCTTGAATATGTATATATATTAAAGCTAAGATCAGTATGTATGTATGATGTGGAGGATGTTTCCTTCCAAAGCTAAATCGAAATTTGATTGTAGACCGCAACTTATATGATACTTTTAATACAAATTCAATTTCCACATTTCTTTAAATACACCACCATAATTGTAAGTTTATTACGATGTTTAATTGAAACTATGAATATCAATAAAAACAAAAAAACCAGTCTTTACAGTTCGTAATATTGAAATATTTAAAGTAATAATTAAGCTTGGTTTAAATGAGTATGCTGTTTGTTATCTATCTTGACGTCAATAGAAGAAACTGGAGAAGCCCGCAAGGTTAAAGCCGTGCTTGAAACACTTGAAAGTGAAGAAGCCTTTTCAGAACACAATCTGGATCCGTTCTTCTTAACAGTTTTATTTCAAACCTTTACAATCGAAAATTTTCAACGCTACGCTGAGTATAGAAAGTATCATTCGAACAAAAAATGCCCTGCAAATTGCCAATTGTTACCTTTTTATTGGAATTTGATGCGAAAAAACAGACAATAGCTAAATTTTATATGCCATATTTGGAAGACAAGAGGATTTATTAAAAAAAAGCTTACGATATCTACTCCTAACAGTATGAACTTTTAATATTTATTACAATTTGTTTGTTTTCTTTCCTTCAATGTAAATAAATGTGAATTTTCACATCATTGTGAATAGGTCGGTACAAACAGCTGATCAAAATATATATATGTATACAAAGGTAGTACTGCGCAATGTCGGTTAAATAATTAAAACGAATGTCGTGTCCAAATTGGTGAAGAAAAACAAAGCGAACAAAATATACATAACAAATATAACAAATAGAAACCTTTATTAATGAATTTGTTTTCAAATTTAAACAATAATTGAAAATGGCATCCGTAGATAAGGAAAACGACATAAAAAATGAAAAGAAGTGCGAGGACAGCACCACACCTCCAGTTGGCGCAGAAGCCCAACAGTTAGATGCTGAAAAGGAGAAACTAGTCACATCTGCACCAACAGCAGAAAGTGATATTGGACATGAAATTACTACCAAGGAAGCATATTTTGCTAGTCTAAACGAATGGGTTTGTATTGCGCTTTTAAAGTATGACATGGTTGTGTATTGTTTTGATACAATTTTGTTTCAGGTGAAACATGCTAATATCTCGCAAAATGCCATGGCTCTTTTCCCTTTGTATTTAATACATAGCTATCCACAAGTGTTTCAAAACCTGATCAATAATCCTTTGGCTGGTTTGGGCGGTACAATACCACCTATAAATACACAAGCGGTGTCAGCTAATACTCCGAATTTAAACGCGGCCGATGCCAACGCTATTGGTGAACGTGGACGCGTTTTATTTCAGTATCGCATATTAAGTGATCAACTACAAAGTGAACTTATTCATCGTACAGGTGGTTACGAGTATGTTATTGCACCCTTCTGGAAGCGTGTGGTTGCTGAAATCATCGATATGGTTATATTACTGTTGCTGAAGATTGTAGTCACCTTTACAATTATGAATTTATTTGATTTGGATTTGGGTTTTGATCTCGACAAGGAAGTATTGCGAAAAGCCATTGAAGATGATGATTACGTTAATTTTTTGGCTGTTTCTATGGACTTTCTAGCTTTTTCTTCAGATCTTCTAATGCTTGAGCTATTAACCAAAATAATAGTTTGCTTCTACGAGGCCATATGGACAGCAGCGTATAACGGTGCTACGCCAGGCAAAGCGGCCATGAAAATACGCATACAATATGTAGAGGCAATTTATCCTTTACCACTACCAGCTGATATGCAACCACAGCCACCACCATTTGCAAGACAGCTTCAGGGTTTTCAAGCCCAACGTATACCAATCAGTGCACTTATATTTCCAAATGAGGTGCCAACATTCCAACGAGCTTTCATGCGTGCCGTATCAAAGAATTTAATAATGACCCTATTTTTTCCAATGTGTTTTATAATGATTTTCTTTAAAAATAATCGTACAGCTTATGATATAGCAACTAAAACGATTGTTGTTGAGGCGAATCCAAACCCTACGCTTCGACATCCACCACCACAATAGGATACTATATAAAATCTAAATATGGGAAAATGTTTGGTTACTTTCGTTTTTTGTTATTTTTTATTTATTGTTCTTTAAACTTTTTTATGAATTTCCATATCTGAAATTTATTAATAATTTATGAAAATAAATATTTCAACGCATAAAACGTATTAACAACCTGCTTAGCATGTTGTCGTTAAAAGGAAACTTTAATTTTTTAACGTTTGTATCATGGTTTACTTCACATTCACGTTCTTCAGCGTTTGTGCAACAACATTTCCTTTGCCAGGCACATGGAGCGACGAACCTTTATAACAGGCCACCAAGTCGTCATTCGTTCTTAAATCAGGTGCACAAGTTTCAAATATTTTTTTCTTAGGATTAAGTTGAGCATCTGGTTGGCGAGTGTAACCCTCACAATGCACCAAGTCACCAGGTACTGCACCTGAAGGGGGGCTGAGGACTTCCACTTTATCTGGTGTTGAAGCACACATGACCATCGCTTCGGAAGTTACACCGCGCATTTTGGCTGGTTTCAAATTACATAGCACAACCACTAGACGGTTTTGCATCTCTTCTAAGGGTACAAATTTAACCAAACCAGATACTACGGTTCGTGGTTGGGATTCTCCACAGTCGATCTTTTCCAAATATAAACTGTCTGCATCGGGATGACGACCAACTTCAATTATTTTGCCTACACGCATATCGAGGCGACCGACATCTACTGAAAGTTCCGCGGGGGCATTTGTATTTGTGTTTGCATTAGTCTTTTCCTTTTTCGGTTTCTTTTCCTTCGCTTGCTTTTTATCGGATGACTCAACTTCTGGAGCTTTAGCTAGATCACTTTTAAGATTTACTTCAATAGTGGTGCTTGGCACTTCAGTGGAAAAACTACGCGTATTAGGTAATGCAATTTGCTTCTTTCCATGACTGAGTTCTAGTGCTATGAGTTGCTGCTGCGCAATCTCAACTTGTTGCTTTAACAAAGCGTTTTCTTTGCTCAATTGTTGTTTTTTATGCGCAAGAAGCTCTCCTCGCATGACGCCCAACTAAAACATATATAAGCATATAAAACCTAAGTTATATACCATATTTCTTCACGGATTCGTACCTCTGCTGAGATGGACGAAATGATTTGCGCATTGCGTTTGTTGTTGGCAATAATCTCCTCCATTGCAGGCATTTTTAATAGCTGAGTTTTAAGATGCAAAGACGTGGTTGTGATTCTACCAGCTCCAAGTCCAAAAATGCGGTATAATGACATGGCTAAGTTAAGCTATTGTGAATGAGAGTTTACGACCATATGATCGGAAGCGGTGAAAATTTATAAATATATATTTATGTATGTATATATACTCTTTATTTTTACTATTTACTTTTTTCAATGTTATTTGAAAAGTTTATTGGGATTAAATGTCTTTTTACTTTCCCTAAGAAAATATAGGAGAGTTCATTAGAAATTGTTCAGACTTGGCAGCCCATGTATATCTCTTATGAAATATTTTTATTTTGGGAGAAAGCTTCACTTTTAACATGCTTTTTAATGATAAAACATTATTTATGGGAATTCTGGTAAAAATGTTAAATTATCCCTGATCTCAACATGTGTGCTAAATAGTTTCTCGACTGTTCTCTAAGTTATCGAATCTGGCAACACGAAACAGCTCTGAAATTTGGGTCAAGTTCAGTGTTGCCAGTGGTGAAAATTTATCTTTAAAATTAAGATTTTTTTATAAAAAAATTTATAATCAAAGTTTTAATGTGAAGATATTTAACCAAAATCAAAATTGCATGCAAAAACTATTTATATCTTGATAATCGGTAATATTTGAAGATTTCTCTTCTTAAATTTGTTAGATTTTTGGACACCCTCCTTATATTTGCTCAACAAAACATTCTTTTAAATACTTTTCAGATTTCTTAATATAGAATACTTGGTCCTATACTTGATTTGCTATATATAGGTACATTATATTCATTCTATATCATACTTTTAATATGCTTAGTTTTGGACCATTTTTACTCAATTTGGTCCACTTTATGAGCCAGAAAAAAAGTTCAACGGCAACCATGATTGTATCCTACGAGATACGGGAATGAGTGTGAGAGCGTAATGAGAGAATTTTGTATCATGCAATTGTTATCATTGTTGTTGGATCGTCAACTTTTAAAGCAGGGATAAAGTTTAAAGAACATTGTGAAATTCTTCCAGAGTAATCCTTAATTAGTTTGTTTGAGTTTTATCTCTTGTTAGAGTTCAGTTTTTTCGTGTATTATTCAAGAGTTACAGCCAAGTAATAAAATAAAGTAGTGCAGAATAACTAAAACTTCAGTGATAAAAATTGTATAGAGTATCCGATGAGTGTTCAACCATTTAAGTAACAAAGGATAAAGAAAACAAAAAGTAAGGTCAATTCAACTTCGATGATTAATCACCTTTTATTGGAGTGAAAAGTGTATAAAAAAACTTCGCCAACTACATCGTAGCTGCAAGTGTTTCAAGAGTCACCTGTGCTTTTGTTTTTTTGTAATGTCTATTCTTTTTAGTGTTCTGTATATATGTACATACATACGAACGCATGCAGAATAGTGCATTCACTTTGTTTACAGTGCAAAACAACGAAACGCTAATACATCAACGCGTCTACAAAAATATGTAAATATGAATTAAACACTGCCACTTCGTCACAATTTTTTTTTGTTTCCTACCCACACCAGAGGCATTTGAAATAAGGTCATTCAACCTAATATTTTTACAATATATTACTACTCTTTATTTAATAAGCAATTTGCGTGTCTGTTGTTATGAGGTTGCGTTCATTAGCAAAATTCATTAAATAACCGGTTTAAATTCTTTGCCTATTAAGGTAGTCTCAGTATAAGAATATAACTTTTATAAAAAAAAACATAGCGTAAATGTGCTAGTGAGCGAACAAGTACTTATTTTTTAAATTTTAATTAAAATATAATATGTGAAACTTGGAATCATTCTATTCACACTGCCTTGTAACTCCAAGAATTTTGACGTAAAATATATGTAGAACATATTATTTGTATTTGAAAAAGATCTCAAATTCGCGCAGCAGTTAATGACAATTTTTATGTCTTCAAAACGTGTCTAGAAAAATTGTATTATATAAAACTAACTTGGAGGTTTTGAAGTCACCAGTTATCTTTTTTTCATAACAAGGTCATTGTTAACAATTAAAAAAAAATTACTTGGAATAATAGTGATTCAATTAAAAAGCAGTATATTGCATAAATTCCCACAACAACCAGTTCTTCGTTACCGGAATTGACCCTGATTTTATTCGGCCAAGGGCTGTTATTTCGGCGATCTAACCCTGTTTGGATCGGTAAGTGTTAGTTTAAGTTTGTCGTCATCCAAACTCCACCTCGGTTAGGTGCAATACATGCAATGGATGAAGCCATCTTAAGACCTGCTCAGGCCTTAAGACCCATAGGGAGTGGACCACAAGTTACGTGGCCCCATGCTGCCAACGTAATACTGCGATAGCAGCCTTAACGGCTGTGCAATCTGCGCCATGTTCGCGCACTGCGCCGCCACTCCAGTCGAGTGGCTAAGAAAGGACCTCTACGGCCCAAAGGAGCTCTAGGCAGAATGACTCCTAGTCTGACCAACCTCGAGAAACCTCCCGACTTTATTTCTGTGGACAATCGCACCTTCATTAACTTTAATAAAGCTAACTGGGTTGGCTTCACAGAATTTACTGAGAGCACCTTCAACGCACTACCCATTCCTACGGACGTAATCGTTGGCGAGCGTCAATTCCGCAAGGTGATCGCTGCTGCTACTGGTGGGTTCGTACCGGCTGGAAGAATCGCGGAACTCCGTCCTAATTTCCCAGCCGAAGCAGCTGTATTAGCAAACGAGCGCGACACCTTGCGCCATGCCGATCCCCGAATAAGGGATCTCAATTTAGAGATTCGGCAAATGGTAAATCAACATAAGCGGACAAAAAGGATAGAGCACCTGAAGTCCTGCAATCTCTTTTGACAATCACACAACGCTACTTAAGGACCTAGAGCAATCAACGCTTCCTCCAGGGCTGAAGCGGTGGACCATGAACTACCTGAGCGGTCGGCATTCAGCCGTACTGTTTCGAGGTAAAAACTCCAAACTTAGAAGAATTAAACAGGGGGTTCCACAGGGCGGTGTTCTCTCCCCACTACTGTTTAATTTCTACATTTCGAAACTCCTCCCACCAGCGGGAATTTCCAAGACCTCGTATGCTGATGACTGCACGGTATCGACGTCGCGCAATGGAATCGATGGCATGTGCTCAAACGTAAACGGCTTTCCGACCTTTCTCGCTTCTTCTTTGCAAGGAGTCTGACACTCTCCCCCACTAAATCCACAGCGACCATCTTCAAAAATTGGACAAAGGAATACAGACAGGAAGGACCTGAACTTTTCAGTCGATGGCACAAAAATTTCGACAGTTAATAACCCTAAAATTTTAGGCGTATCATTGGACAGTCTGTGCTCCTTCACTCCTCACACGACCGCGATAACTGCCAAAGTACAGAGCCGCAACAAAATCCTCAAATCGCTTGCCGGAAGGTCTTGGGGAAAAAACAGAAATGTTGTTGGCAACATACAAGGCAATCGGCCGGCATCACTATGCATCACCAATATGGTCGCCTGGATGTAGTGCAACGCAGACGAAGAAGCTTCAGACTTGTCAGAACACTGCACTCCGGACTATCACGGGATGCCTCTTGATGTCCCCAATAAATCACCTGCACAGTGAGGCCCTTATGCTTCTGGTTAAGGAACATAACGAGCTCCTCTCCAAGCAGTTTCTGCTGGGGTGTTTTCGTAGAAAACGTCGCCGACATCAGACAGTACACCGACCGGACTTCGGACTCAACGAACTACAGACAAGCACTGACCGCCATTCACAGTGGAACCATTAACACCTTCATCGACTCCCTCTCAGTGAATGGCGTACTAGGAGTCAAACCACCACCCATAGCAGACGTAAAGCTCGAGTTGCTTTGCGAAACCAGAGTGACCCTCGCGCAACTTCGTTCTGGTTATTGTAGCAGGTTTAACTCCTACTTATCCAGAATACACCCCGACATTCCAAACATATGTCCTGCGTGCAATGAGGCTCCGCATGATACTAACCACATCTTTGCATGCCCAATAAATCCCTCTCATCTAACACCCTTTTTCCTATGGTCCGACCCCGTCGAAAGTGCCCGTTTTTTGGGCCTCCCGTTAGATGACCTCGACGACAACCAAACTATCACTTACCATCCAAGCGGGGACTAGATGCCGTTACAACAACAACATTAATCACAACGTAGTTGAGCTACCTGAAGTGTTTTACGCTTTAATTACTTAAATTAGATTGTCAATTAGTTTTAAATATAGGCGTTATTTGAAATAGAAAGTTAGTCTATGTAGAATTAAGTGACAAAAACCTAATTTACAAACAATTCGTTGATAAGAAATAGGGCTGTTTCCTCAATAATGGTTTTGGTTAGGCGCTTAATCAGGCATTGAGCAAACGGCACTTAATCTTTTCATAATATCAAGTACATACATACATATATATCACAACAGTGGTAGGCACAAAATTAAGTCTGCCACGATGGTGTTAAAACTCAGAACGAAACCTGGGAGACCTTATAAAATACATAGCCTCTCACATGTTCTGAGTTGCACAGGTTTCAAAGTTTTACGTAGTGAGCGAGATAATAGCTGCGCGGGAAAACGATCGGTCGTTTTTCATAAAACTGCACGTACACCTGCATTACAAAAAAAAAAAACAGTCCTCTATGCAACTGACGTGCTTCTACAATATCGGTTCAACTCAAAGTTTGGTACTAGAGCAAGTAGTTGAAGCATTCATTAGTAAAATAGTTGCGAAACAGGCGAGTCATATCGGTATAATTGTATTCACATATTGAATAAGGGACAACATAGGTAGTAAGTTGTAAAAATAGCCAAAATATTTTATATTGATCAAGAGCTTGAGAAATTAACATGAAATTTAATCGTGGAAAACTACTCGTAGCGAGTTGCACCATGTGAACGCAACATATAGCATCAAAAAGGGAAGCTAGACAGACAAACCTGTAGGCATTTCTATCAATACTAATTATTATGTTTTATCATTTTATTATATAAATTCGATTTCAATACAGATTCAGTTTAAAAATTCCAAAACAAAAAAATTCAATTCATCATGGCTAAATATTTATTTTTTCTCACTTTAATACAGAATAGTAAAAATTGCAACTAACCTTTTAGCATATTTTCAGCAAACATCATGACCACATGCAGTTCTTTCAATGATGAAGTTACACTTGGCGACCATTATGCGTTGGACATTATTAAGGGACATTTTATGCGAGACTTTGATGTGAGAGACGTCTTGGCAAGTTTGCAAGACATCTTTAGCAAACCCGAACAACAATATATAAATGCGGTGAGTGTTCCATTCGAAAGTGCTTTAAATAATTTTTATTAATAAATTAATTTTTCATTGTAGCACCTTCAATACGATAACGAGTGTACGCAAAATGTCATCATCGATAGTCAAGATGTGCTCGGTGTGGAGAAAGCTTCACGCCTATTTGCTGTGTTGCGCAATAAGGGTTATGAACAAATACACAAATTTATGGAAGCTTTGAGTAGTGATTATTTATGGCTCGTGAGTCATTTCGACAATGTGAATAAAGTGGATTATACTGATTATGTGGATTTAGTACACTCTCTGCATTCAAAAGTTAGCCTTAAGTATGACGATTATAATGTACATCGTTCAATGCCGGTAAGACATTTTTTTCGCTTAATTAATTAATATAATTTTTTCAGGCAACTAGACGGATATAGGGCCTAGGGTACTATATAACGATCCAAAAGGGTTAGATTTCCGAAATAACAGCCATGGAACGGTTAAAATCCGGGTCAATTTTGGTAACGTATATAAGGTTGTTGTGGGTATAGTAATCTAACCCTATTTGGATCTGTAAGTAGCACAAACGACAAGCGTAAAACAAACACTTACGATGGCAAAAAACGACGACAAAGTCAGTCTGCAATTAGCAGTTGACTAAAAGGGTAATTCTTACTTCTTGTTCAACTATAATATATTTCCCACTCAACCTGAAATAATATAAATTTTGATGCATTCACTTGCACGTGCACATATTCAGTCGGGCATAGATCGAAAATATTCATATGACAGCCAATCTCATCACATCCCGGCGTAAGAGTCATCTAAGCATTGGTCAGACACGCTGCCTGCTTTGCTTCTCTAGAACCAGCTCACAGTCAGCTTCCCGTGAGGTCACGTCATGACTTTTAAATCACATCACGTCTATGTGCAAGAGACACCTAAGCCAGAGAACATACAATAAGATATAGTATAATAGCTATTTTACGTTCTCTGACACGAGTTGTTGTTAAGTTATGCTGCTTATTCTATTTGAGACGATTGTGGTTTTTGTTACACAGTTTTTACCTTTTTTGTTCACTAAGGAACCTGCACCTTCTCGTTATAATACGTTCCCTCGTTTTACTATCTGCAATGTGTGTAATAAGTTTGATATGGTGAATTTAGGTGTGGTGAGTTCATGTGTGTATAGAGTCAAGATGTTTACAGTTGTTTGTTTCATTAAAACTGGTGAGTTTAGGTGTGGTGAATTGTTCACTTCTAGTGTGGGGAGTTAAATATGATAAAAAAACGCGATTTTCTTTAATTTCGAAATCACAAAGTACAAAAATTCCTACCGTTATGCTGTCTGCAATATGTATGATAAGTTAGATATGATGAATTTGGATGTGGTGTGTTCATGTATTATTAGATATTATGAGTTAAGAGGTTTTATTTATATGTTAAATTAAATATGTTGAGTTTAGATAAGTAATGTGATGAATTAGTAATCGTTAGTGAGATTTTAAAAATACTTTTAAAGTGCTAATCTTCTTTTATCACTAAATCTATATGTTTGAATGTATACTGATATTCACCACTGCCTTTATCTTTGTTCTTGCCTATTATTATATCATTTTAGTTTCGAAAACTACGCAATGCTTTACTTACCATGCCAATGCAAGGTCGTGTGATATTAGTTAGTGACTTCGGTTATGGTAAAAAATGGCTCGCAGTCGACGTTTGCACTGATTTTGACGTTGCCAAAGCAATGAATTTTCAAATTCACTGGATCGATATGGGCGAGTGCACTAGCGCATTGGATGATTTACGTATGTTACGTTACCTAAAACTTTTGCTAACTCAATCAACACGTTCCCCTTCACCGGCCGGTTATGGTTCATTAGAACGTACGGATCAAAATACAAATACATTTAAAAATTCAATAGAAGAAAATAAACTTCTAGTAAGTCAAGAGCTTAAAAAGAATGCGAATAAAAAGTGCCTTGTCGTATTGGTGAATGTACGAAATACGCATGCGTTGGAGGTCTTCGACTTGCCATGCAAATTACTTGTGCTTACACGCAGTAAGAAGGTTAGCGATGCGTTTGCGAAAAAACGTAGCACAACAATACGTTTGACATACGGTCTGACACGCGCAGAGTTTTATATGCTCTTTGAGAAGTATTTAGGCAAGAATTTGTTGGAAGAATTTATGTATTCGATTTATGCGCATAGTAATGAACATCCTTACTTGCTCAGCTTGATCGGGCAGAGCTTACGTCAAAATTTAGCTAATTGGCAGGATTGGATCGATAAATTGCGGGAATCAACGTGAGTGTAAAAAAATTAATTTTAGTTTTAATATAATAGGAAAAGTGTAAATATAAATATATATTAGACTGTAAGGTCTAACGTTTGTAAATTTTGTTTAAGCACTTTAAATATTTTATTTGAACACCAGATTTGTTGATGATAAATTCAATGCAGCAATTGAAAAGAGTTTGGACAGCTTAGAACCGGAGTTGAGAAGAACATTCACTAAAACATTCAGTTGCTTTCCGCATGCCATCTATGTGCCACAAAAGGTAAGATTATATAAAAATAAATATACCCAAAACATTATATTTGTTATTTTTTACTTTACCACATTTCAGTTGATCGCTGCGCTCTGGCCTGCGGATAAGTGTGAGAAAGACTTGGAGAAGTTATATCGACATGGTTTTCTGGAAAAGTTTATTTCACCACATGATGAGATCTGCTATAAGCAACTCTTTGTCTATGGCAAAACAAAGCGCAACAATGAAGTGACGGCGGCTGATATAATGGATATGCATAAAAAGCTGCTTAATTATTATCAGTACGTTGTGCATAATTTTAATTTTGTTTTAAAAATAATTTGTTCATAAAAATTATTATTATTTTTTTTTAACTGTAGTCTAGTTGAAGATCTGGCGACGCGCAGCGAAGTATTGCCATTTGAGCGTGATATACACGACTTCTACTTTTTCTCTTGTATTGGTTATCATCTTAATAAGTCTGGACTCACAGGCTATTTTCGTCAGCTCTATTTGGATTTTGGTTTTCTGGAGCAAAAAATACGCAAAGTCGACTTGTTAAGCACCATTGCCGATCTAGAAACTTATGAGCAGTATATTGGTTAGTTCAATGCTAATATTTATGAAACATATTAAACTAATTACTATATCTCTTTATTTATACGCAGCTCCTGATTTGGAGGCACGCAAAATATTTCGTGCGTTACTCAAATTTTTACCCAATATCGAAAAGACATTGCAGGAATCAAGCAACACTACACTTTTGCAATGCGCATTCATGGAGGATGGTTTGGTGGGCGTTGAGGCGCGCGTACAAGCGGCCGCTTTTCCAAATTTTGCTTGGTTTGAACATCAGTAAGTAGTTTGCTTTACAGCGGTTTCCATAACAATATTTATATACTCTTTATACACAGCGGCTGTATTCATCAACGTCAGAATATTGTACCACTACCGAGTACACCGAAAAAAGTCTTACTACTCGATCAAGAACGTGCTTTAATTGCTTTATATGAAAGTTCAGCAATCTTGCTAATCAACATAAGTTTTGATTGGAATACATATTCAGTGAAACTTAAGGATCCGATGCGAGGAAAATCCAACGTGGTTGATATACGTTTTTTCCGCGACAAGAATTCATGTATTTTATTAGCATTGTATGCTAATGGCAATATGAATGTTTGGTGTCTACCGGGTGATTGCAGTATGTATCGACGCAGGGTGAGTATATAGTGTAATTTTTATTTTTTTTGTATGTTTTTTTTTACATAATTTCTTCTTATGTTTAACATATGCAAGTTGTTCACGTGTATTTTTGCATGATATAACATAACTTAACGTAATTTAACATAGATAAACTTAATTTAACTTTACGTAGCATAACTTAACATAACATAACGCAATTTAACATAACTTGATATAGCATAACTTAACTTAACATAACTTAACCTAAGATAACGTAACTTAACATAACTTAACTTAACATAACTTGACGTAACATAACATAATATAACGCAACTTAACATATCTTTACATAGCATGACAACATAATATGACGTAATTTAACATAACTTTACATAGCAGAACTTAATATAACATAACTTAACTTAACATAGCTTAACTTAACATAGCTTAACGTAATATTATATAATATAACGCAACTTAATATAACTTTACGTAGCATAAATTAACATAACATAACGTAACTTAACGTTACTCTACATAACATATATTTAATATAACATAACTTAACTTTACATAACTGAACATAGCTTAACGTAACATAACATAATATAATGCAACTTAACATAACTTTAGGTAGCGTAACTTAACATAATGTAATGTAATTTAATATAACTTCACATAGCATAACTTAAAATATCTTTACATAGAATAACTTAATATAACTTAACATAACTTAACGTAACAACTTTGCATAACATAATTTAACATAAATTAACGTAACAAACGTAACTTAACATAAATAACTTAACGTAGCATAATATAACATAACGTAAATTACGTAACTTAATTTAAAATAACGTACCCGAACAAAGTACAATATAACATAATCCATTATTATATTCTTATTCCTCCTAATAGTCTCATTCATTTGCGCGTCCAGCTGAAAAAGAAATTGAATGTCGGAATTTTATACCAATTGATTACTTGCTTAAACCGATATCCGCTTTCGATTTTTCCTATGGTGTTAACACTAATCCGTCCAATTTATATTTGGCTTATGAAACCGGTGAAATTCGATTTATTGAGTGGAATAGCGAAAATAAAAACTTCCAGCCAGCACCATATGAGTCTTTGAAAACCGGCATGATCGATATATGTATGCTACGTATCGCCTTCAATCGTAATTATATAGTGTGCAACAAAGTGGGTGACATATGCATTTTCGATGTGTTGGACTACTCCCATCCGCGTGGCATCGAATCGTTTAAACACTTAATCGAAACAATCGAATTAAGCCGCAATAAGTTGCTGCTAATTTGTCGCCGTTGTATTGTACAGTTTAACAGCAGATCTATAAATGAAACCGGCGCGACAAACTACCTGCTGCAAGAGCGTGATCTAACCGCCAATGATGCGGATAATGCCATCAATTGCGCCAAACTATTGCACATCAATGGACATAAGCATATACTTTTGGGTACCAAGAAGGGTCTCATAATGTTTGACATCGAAACGCGTACAAAAGTGTTGACGACAAATGTTAACGAGAATATCACTTGTGTTGATATACAGCTACTGGATGTGGTTAAGAACAAATATATAGTGGCGTGTGGCTCTAACGCGCATAAGTTCTTGAATTTGTTTGCGTTGCGCACCGATGCCGATGGCAGACCTCTGCTCAGCTGGTCAGGTGGTGCAAAAACATTAGGTTCGAAGCACGCTAACTTGGACTTGCAGATGCCACCATATGTGTCGCTGAAGGGCGGCAAATTATATACGGTGCAATATGAGTGTGATGCAGCGACGCTGCTGGCGGTCGATTCTCTGAATCAGGTTATTTGAAATATCAAAAATTGTCTTTAGTAATTTTGTAATTTTATTTTATTTTCATATATTTTTCAGTTACATAAAATTGATGCTAGCGGTAGTACACGTGTATACGCAACAGCGCCAGACATTATCACTGCTATTACACAGTATGGCAAAAAGTCGTTTGTTGGTTGCGCGAATGGTGCGCTTGTCGATTTGAATTTATATGTAACTACGCCAGCAGCTATGCAAACGATGTTTAATGAGCAGCCGATTGAGTTTTTACAGTTGCTCAATGAACATACACTGATTGCCAAGAGTGACAATGAGCTTGTAGTTTTTACAAATTTGAATTATGGTGTATGTAAGCGTTTTCCAATGCTGTCCAATAAAGTGGTGCGTTGTTTTCGTAGAACAACTGGACAAATACTTATAGTTTTTACAAGTCGTGCATTTTGGGTATGTGAAAATAATATATGTATTATACATAAAGTTGTTTTCATTGAATTTTTTTTTTTTTTTTTTTTTTTACAGATTTTGGACGAGTGTGCCAATTTAATATACAATTACATTCCGAAAACACCTGGCAGTATTGGTGGTTGCGATTTCCAGAATAACCAACTTTTTACTGTAACTGAAAACTATAAAATCGAGGTGAGTATACGAAGTTAATAACAGTACGAGTTTAATAAATTTATACACTTAATTTTAAAAACCTTAAACTTCAAAATACATATGTTATTAAAAATTTTAAACTTCAATATATATTTTTCGAAAATTTCAACTTTAATACTTATTTTTCGAAATTTCAAACTAATTTAATATTTCGAAATTTCAAACTAATTTAATATTTCGAAATTTCTAACTTTGATTTAATAAATTAATACTTATATATCGAAATTTTAAACTTCTATGCTTATTTTTCGAAGCTTTAAACTTTATCATATATATTCGAAATTGTAAACCTTAATATTTATTTATCGAAATTTTAAACTTCTATGCTTATTTTTCGAAGCTTTAAACTTTATCATATATATTCTTCGAAATTGTAAACCTTAATACTTATTTATCGAAATTTTAAACTTCTATGCTTATTTTTCGAAATTTTTAACTATAATATGTATTTTTCGAAATATCAAACTTTATTGTATATTTTTCGAAATTTTTATATTCAATACTTTTTTTCGAAATTTTAAACTTTAATTTGTATTTTTCGAAATCTTAAAATTTATTATATATTTTTTGAAATTTTAAATTTCAATATGTACTTATTTTTTGAAATTGTAAACTTTAATATGCATTTTCGAAATTTCATACTTTTTTAAATAATTTTAGAAAATTTAAACTTTAATATATATGTTTCGAAATTTTAAACTTCAATATATGTTTTCAAAATTTTTAACTTAACTACTTATTATTCGAAATTTTAAACTTTATTATATATTTTTCGAAGTTTTTACCTTTAATACTTATTATTCGAAATATTTAATTTTAATCTATATTTTTTCGAAATCTTAAACTTTATTATATATTTTTCGAATTTTCAAATTTTAATATATGTATATTTTATGAAAATATATATTTTTAAATACTTAAATTTTTCGAATTTTCAAATTTCAATATACAAGTATGTACATATGTATGTATAACTTTCCAAACTTCAAACTTTGATATTTATTTTTAAAAATTTTAAATTTCAATACATATTTTTCAAAATTTCAAACTTTAATATATATATTTCGAAATATTAAATTTTAATCTATATTTTTCGAAATTTCAAACGTCAATACTTATTTTTCGAAAATTCGACCCTTAGTATATATACATACATACATGTACCATATATTTGTATCAAGTATGCGGTTTAAGCCATCAGTCATGGCTCATCTTTATAATATTATATACTATTTTCCATGTGTATATATGCCTTGTTATAAACATCTATCTGCATTTCAGCTATTATTTCCTTTTATTATGATGCATGACCGATGAAACTATCTGTTCTAAACCTATTCTATGACGTATGTCAGCGTTTGGATTCTTTGGTGCAAGCTCTATCCACACTTTTGGTACCCTTTAACTAAATTTACAGACTTTGACAGGTGCAGCCTTAGCGGCATAGTATGATTTTTAACTCAATGTGTCATAACGGTTATGTCAAAACATTTCTAATTAGTGTTACCATATTTAATAACTATGCACGCTCCTGCCTAAGTTGCTAACTCAACTGTTATAAGTTTATATGCACCCAAGTTACTAACAAAATGGTGTTAAGCAAGGTATGTCAAATACTAATATAGATTATTTGAGAATAGGCTTGTCAAGTTTTAAATGAGTCGATATATCTGTTTCTTATCGAGATACGTAAACGTCTAAAAGTAGGAACTTTATGGATTTCATTGTTGTTTGGATCTACGGATTGAAATGTTTGCGAATTTATATTGCTATCACGTCCTTAGTATAAATTGTTAAATAGTACTAGCTGTTTTCGATTCGCAATTTCTCTGCTCTCTATCCATGCGCGTTGCTCTCTTGTCAAAAAGTTACTAAACTCTAACACTTGGCTAATCGAAGACAGATAACGATAAAAATATATATATATATATGTTATACTCACCACATCGTAAATAAACTTGGAGCTTATAAAGTAGTTTGTTTCAAATTTAACGCACTTTTGATATCAATGAGTTTGGCTAAGTTACTAATACTTGAATAATAAATGTGTGCGCGTTGTTAAAATGGACCAGACCGGGTCAAATTTCATCAGCTTAATTTAAGTTCTTCTAAGTAGTTCACTTCCTTAGGGCACTTCAGTGGCCATTTCTGCGATATTACGTTCCCTATATAGACCAATATAATAGTTTAAGTATAATAAGCTTAGTATAGTAATTGTTACTAACAGCGTAAATAATTTGTATGTGCTGGCCACTTTGCGAATTTTATGTTGAAACGGTTTTACAAAAAACACACACACTCTACATAACGGTTCTTATATGTAAAAACTTTCTGTCATCAAAATTCTACAGTGTTTCCAACATCAATTACTCAATTATTACTTTTTTTTGTTTGTTTAAAGGTTTTCGATCTTGCCGAGTCGCTTGGTCCCAAACAGCCGAATATGAGCTACAACGTCGGTGATATGTTCGGCGGCGCACGAGTCAGTTGTGTAGCGGTGTCGCGAAAAGCCAACTTAATCGCTGTCGCATGCTATAAAATGGACTACAATGGAGAGAATGACATAAGCATACATGTATGTAGCCACAAGACTATATTATTTGAAAATTTCTCAATCTAATCTAATCTAACCTAACACTTAACCATCTGTAGATTTACGATTGCCAACTACACGCCAAACGCATCGATTTACTCTACACACTTAAAGGTCACAATCTGCGCATCAATAGTATGCGTTTCTCACCCAACGCCTGTGTGCTAGTCAGTTGTGCTGAGCAGTTATGCTGGTGGAGCATGCACATGGCGGCGTGTAAGCTGAACAATGCTATGGCAGACACAACAACAAATCGACGTAGCGGTCTTACACGTTTTCCCTCCGACAGTGAAGACGAGGAAGCGCTGGAAGAGCACTTAACCGCCGGTAAACTTGCAAGAATTTTGGAAGATGTTTCATTGCTAGCGCGTAATGATACACGGCCGCCAACAGATGTCACACCTGTCGATGATGTTGTTGATTTCACAATGGCGGCCGGCGCTGTTGATGCTGTTTGGAAGACCAAGTGTGGACCAACAAGAAATTGTGAATTGTTGGCTTGTATCAAATTTAATGGCAGTGAGGCGCAACAGTTTTTCGCCAATGAAGCGTTCACGAAATTCCAGACAATCGACAATGGTGGCAGTTACTATGTGTTGACGCTGCATGATTTCAACGCGCCAAAGGAAACGAGAAACGACGAAGAAACTTCATATATTGATGCAGCTGTTGATGTAGTCACCTGACCGCCTGACAGTCGCATTTGTACGCCTAGCGGGCGTACGAAAAAGTGTACTGTTTCGAAGTGTACGCCTGTGATTGAGACTGCAGCGTTTCGCTACCAATTTATATACTTTTTAATTTATTTTTGTATATTTCACTGCGATCTCTTTGCATGTGATTTTTAACGGTAAGGCAAGTCAAAGGCACAAACCCAAAAAAAAAAAACAAAGAAATGTTAGAAATTTTTTCATGCTTATATTGAATGCCAATAGTTATTGTATAAGTATTAAAGTTTTATATGTACAACTAACCAACTTCACGTGACAATTATGAAGTAACTATATTGTTAGTTTATATACTACAAACAAATGGCAACTTCGACGTGCAACAAATTGGTGCCAAATAGTTTTTTTTTTTATACAGTGTGCCTGCTAATTTAAGTGTATCAACAATGAAAGACACTCTGAAAGTTCACTCACTTAACAGTTGAGTTTAGATTTAATTTTTATATGTTAAAAAATAACGTATTCCAAAAATGTCAAACCAATTATTCTTACCATAAGACTCAATATATATATTATTGACATAATTTGTATATATATTTTGTGTAGGTATATAATTTTCTAATAGCTAAGAGTAGCGCATTTATTTTGTAGCAATAACTGCCACAATAAAGCATTTATGGTATGTTCGTTTTTGGTAGTAATACCAAAGACCTAAGCAATCATTATATGTATGTGAAATGGAGATTTAAATGAGTAAAATTCGTTAAAAAATTTTAAAACAACTAAGTAGATTTTAGCGAAAATAGGTATATTGATTTTTTATAAAATTTTGTGCAAAAGCTTAAAGTGGTATTCTGGTCTAGACGCCGAAATTTTAGGCATTATTCGAACTAAGCTAAAAAAATGAAAAACATTTTTACTTAATTTGTTATTGACATTTAATGAATATTAAAGAATATAAAAAAATTAAAAATAAAAATATTAGAAATCGTCGAATTACAAGACGGTAGAGTGGGGTCTACAAAAAAAGGCAGTTGGTTCTTTTTGATATGATTTCAACCCTTGTAGTGATCTAAAACAAATTGAAAAAACTCTTGATTAGTAAAGATGTCGCCATCGGATTGACCTTTTCAAAAATTCACAAAATGGCGTCAACTTAAACCAAAAAAAATTTCACTTCCTTTTTTGACCTTTTCGAATTTTTTAAAAATATTTAAAAATAAAATTTTTCAAAATCCAAAGCAGATGCGATAGAGGAATGTATAATAAAGATTATTTTTAATAAATAATACAATTTATGCCCCTTCACTTAAGTCGACTTAAGCTATTTCAATATATTACGACATATGTAATCACGTAGATCATGAATCATGCTCTTGAATGCGTGCGAGTTCGTAATTGTGTAGAATTTTTAGTGCAATTTATGACTATCGTTTATTTGCAACAAAAAATCATTAATATTAGTTCATATTTTAAAAAATTAAAAATTTCAAGTTATGCTTGTCTTCATATACATATCTATTACCATTTTAAAGTGTCATAAATATTTTTATACACAGATATATTTGTTTAATTTTTGTAAATAACGCTAAATAATTTTATTTAAATAAATACCAAAATATGTGTTAAAGTTTAGAGTATCAGCAAACTGTACGTATTAGAAAAAAATCCTAAATTATATTATGCAGACATAAACTATCAGCCACATTTTTTATATAATATATTACAAAAACTCTCCAATACTTTTGTAACAAAAAAAAAAAATCAAAATAAAATTGTTTGAAAAAAAATTTGTTTGAACTGACTAATTATATGGGTCGAAGGGCGTCAGAATATAGAGATATGTCGTCAGCATATAGAAATATGCTGCCAATACCGAGGGGATATACCTAACTAGAAATTATATTAAATATTAAAATACGAGCTTTCTGGCGGTAGCCTAAAGTACTGAATAATTTCGTGAACGTAGAATGAACTGTCATGAGAACGAGTCTGATATTTCACCTATGAAGTAAGAGTAAGGGCTTTAATGGGTAGGAAATGAAGTAGAATATCTTCAAACTTTCTCCTCGGCTGTCTAACTTTTCTTTGACTGAGCATGTATCTTGGATGTCATCATTTCAGTCATTTGGACGAATTGGCAAGGATTGAAATTAACCGTCTCAACTGAAGGTATTTTGAATAATATCTTCGAGTTCTTGTCATCACGAAGAATCGGTGTTTCAACAGCTCAAGTATGCTCGACCCGCTATAATTTCAATGGGAACGGGTGGGAGCTCCGCTCTTTTCGCACGTTCTACTACTGATAGCAAAATTTCGAGGGAGCTTGGCCACCGCTGGACTACCATTATTTCTGGCCTTGTTGTAAGACATTTTGGTCCAAAGTGGGTCGCAAGAAGTCTGGTAAGCTCTTCGCCCTCATTGAGGTTAGCTTTTTCTTAAGTGCAGAGGTGTTTGGATGCTGAATAGTAGAAACATCTCAACACTTTCAAAAAAAGAAGAAAAATCGTGGTGAGCTCGTAGGAATAGAAAAACACGCCAAAGCAGATTTCTATTGGCTTCATAACGCTTTATGAACTTATTCGTTCTGATTATTGGAGTTATATTTTCTGGCTTCACAAAGGACTGTATATAGTACTTCAAAAGGGATGACCAACTTGAGGATCAGCTATTGAACCTAACCTAACCTAACGTAACTAACTTAGACCTCTTTTTCGAATCGATCTTGTCTTTAGATTGACGGATGCACATAGCTGCACTTCGTTTTCGTTCGATTTATTAAGTTTATTGAAAGAAAAACAGTTTTTCAAATTAAAATGGCGAGATGACTATGATTATTTTTATTGCGAATACGGCCCGCAATTTTATAATAAATGTCTCATTAATTTCATCTATTATTAATTATGCAATAATTGTTCTTATAATTAAAAAAGTGCTTCGAAAATATAATAGAATTTATTGTTGTTTGTGTATAGAAAAAAATCATCATGGAAAATACAGTGGCGATCAATGAATCGTAACCAAAGCAGCTATTTTTGGAACAAACTCATACTGGCGTTCGCACCGTTAACGCATGTGATGATGATTCATATATATTGGATTTGGTGAATCCACATCCTCGAAGACCATATCTTCTTCGGCATTCCAACGAACACTGCGCACGCTGCCATACCTGAAGGAGACGAGCGAAAAGAGCGTTAAAAGTGTGCATTGTTGAAGAGAGAGAGAGAGAGAAATAAAATTAAGTTTATTTGGATTTTGGTTTGTTGTTGTTGGCATAAAGGCAGCATTGTGACGGCATGCGTAGAGCAGTGAATGTTGTAAAGAAATGTGTGTATGAGTGTTTAGAAAAGTTTAATTTAGTTTTAATTTTTGTTCTATTTGTTTTAATAACGTGGCCTGAACCTGTTCATCATGCCGGGCGGTGGTGGTGGTGGCGGAGCCGTGCGTGGCGGTGTTCGACGCGCGCTGGAAGTAAAGAGAAATCAGAATTGAAGGATACACATAAACGGAAAATATGGGGCTTTCGAAAATTGGTGGTCGAAACCCAGTGAAACAATGAAAGATTGACTTAAAAGTAGTTTGTCAAGAAATATATCTTAATACAGCGTAAATACTAGAAACGAGTTATTTCTTCGCTTTGAAAATTTGCGCCAATTGGAGATATATCATAAAATCTAGAAGCAGGACTCCCCTTATTCTTATACAATCAGTAACACCAACATCGATTATTCCGATTCTGAGTTGGGGCATAAAAAGATATATCTTAAACGACCTAACCGCAATACCGTTTCAAATTTGACACGGATTGACAAAAAATACATTTTCATGTATTTTATTGTAAATCTTTATTACCGCCTTCAAAATAGGCTCCTGGGCCGCTACAAATTTCTATACATCTGTTATAAGTCTCGGCTGGTATGGCCTTCATTGCCTTCAGCGAATTTTGTTTTTTTCGGTTTTTGCACATTTTCGAAGCGTCATTCGCTTGATTAATGTACGGTCCTCATCTATGTTGTCAAGCATCTCTTTTATGACCTCTACTCGACGTGGTTTTTGAAAAAGATTCAGCTCTCTTGGTACGAGTCTACCATTGACACGCTTCATACACAAAACATTGACACAGTGGTATTACGAATTATAATATCGTTTAGAGAGCCGATCATTGATTCGAAAGCAATTGTTCTATAAAATATTAGACTTACGCAGCCACTGCGGCAGAATCTTGCGCCGGCGCACCATATGTCTCACTTTCTTCGATCTCGAAGTCTTCCGTACCGCTACGTTGGCTGCCGAACAGAAAGAAAACAATACATATTATCAATAAAATACATAGCACGTAGAAAATATTGGTTTTGGAGATCACTGGGGCTTGTTGGGTTTAACTAGAGAGAACTAGGTGAATAACTGGACACAATGCATGTGTGTGAAAGAAACTTTGTATTACTTAAACAGGTTGGGTGGGTTCAAAAGTGCGTTCAGCTATTTAATTTTTAGGTTGTAAGCGGTTTCGTGCGGTTTTAAAATTACCAACAACAGCTACTCACAGCCTCTTATGGCGCGGATTACCGGCACGCATTAGATTGGTGACGGCGCGTGTAGTCAATGTCACGCGATGGCGCAGACGCGTCGGTGTACGCGGCATTGGTCTGGCTGGCTGTGCATCGGGACTAGCTTGCAAAACCGGTGTCATGGAGCGACGAGAGGGTCGTTCGTATTTCTCACGTTCGTTGCGACGTCTGACACATTCGGAGAGCGAGAGAGGATGTAAGTAGTTAGTGGTTGGTAATTATAATCGAATGCATACAATTATTAGCGAAAGTAAAGTTGACTTTGCCGAAAGAGTTATCATTAAAGTAAGTCAACTTTACTTTCGCTAATAATTGTATGCATTCGATTATAATTACCAACCACTAACTACTTACATCCTCTCTCGCTCTCCGAATGTGTCAGACGTCGCAACGAACGTGAGAAATACGAACGACCCTCTCGTCGCTCCATGACACCGGTTTTGCAAGCTAGTCCCGATGCACAGCCAGCCAGACCAATGCCGCGTACACCGACGCGTCTGCGCCATCGCGTGACATTGACTACACGCGCCGTCACCAATCTAATGCGTGCCGGTAATCCGCGCCATAAGAGGCTGTGAGTAGCTGTTGTTGGTAATTTTAAAACCGCACGAAACCGCTTACAACCTAAAAATTAAATAGCTGAACGCACTTTTGAACCCACCCAACCTGTTTAAGTAATACAAAGTTTCTTTCACACACATGCATTGTGTCCAGTTATTCACCTAGTTCTCTCTAGTTAAACCCAACAAGCCCCAGTGATCTCCAAAACCAATATTTTCTACGTGCTATGTATTTTATTGATAATATGTATTGTTTTCTTTCTGTTCGGCAGCCA